GGGAATAGGTTCAGACATCTCCATGTTTTAAACTTTAGTTTACTATAATCAACCTTGATATATGAGGTCTGTGAAAAATTCTAAAACTCATGAAGTAATTTTATTCTTACTTTATCCAAACAATGCCTGGCTGTTTTCTTTACCAATTAAGATCAACAATTTTCATTCGGCCCAAAATTAGGCCCACAATTTCCTTAGGCCCAAAGCAATTTCATTCGGGCTGTTTTCTCGTTTTGGGCCTAAAGATTCGGGCGGTTGGCAACACTGAGTGAGACCGTCTTTCAACGATCAGTTCTCCAGATTCCACAAACAGTGTCCGGACAATGTCTGACCTCCGGCCACTTTCTTATTCCTAGCCCAGTTTGTGGACAAATTGGAGAAGAATTATTGATCCACTCCTTTTCTCTACGACCTTGACCTCACTCCCTCGAACATAGTGATCAATGTAGTTAGACAAGAAGCCTCCAAACCTAAACCTCAGCCTCCGCATTCTTCTGACCTGCAGCAAAATCATCCTCCGAAGCCCTGCGCCATGTGTACAATCATGGGATTTGAAGACAACCATTTCTCCCTCACCAGATCCTGTGGCTCCAGAAAGCTGAGTTCACCTGAGATCCTCAAATTGATCGCCAACAATCACCTCTGTTTCACATGTACCCAAGCCCATGAGAAGAACTACAAGTGCAAGGCTACCTACTTCAACGGTACCCCTAAAGCGTGGCCCAAGGGTTGGGATAGGCGTGCCTGCATCCATAACAACCAGGCCCCCTTCCTCTCGGTCTCCAAGGTCAGCACCGACAAGTCAGTTTCCCTGGTGGAGACCATACTCCTGGGCAACACTCCAATAGGGATTCAATATGACACAGGTTGTCAACTTAGCCTTATTTCCAGGTCAGCCCTCTCAACCATCCCTCAATCAATGTACTCCCTTGGGAGTTCATCTCAAGTAAAGATAATGACCTATGCTGGCGAAGGCAAAGTTGTACTCACCTCTACAGTCAAACTGAGGATCCAAGGCAAAACTCTGAGATTGTCCACTTTAGAGGAAAACCTGAACAATGGCTCCGCCTTCTGTTTCACCATCCCAACCAAGTGGAGGGCTTTCACAAAAGTCATCAACGTCAAACCATGATGGTCAAGTGTCCATCCTGCTAGGGAGGGATAATCTCCTCTCCTTCCCCACCGAGACTGAACAAGATCCATTGGGTATGGCCCTTTATCGGAGTACCCTCACCAACAACTGCATGGTAAACGGAGCTGTCCCTTCTAACTCCATCACTTGGTCCGAGGCTCCCCTCGCCAACACCGTCAACACCGCAATCATCAATGCTTTGTCAGTGCAGGATGTACAAGATCAACTCCTCCTCCTCACCTCTGCAGAAGATTCAAGACACCTTCCAATTGAGAACAGCTCCTCAAGATCACCAAGGAGAAGAACATCCAGGCCATCATGGACAACACTGTTGTGGACCCCGTCAAGGGCAAGGTTCAGGTTAATTGTCACTACAAACCAAACCTTCCAAGTCTCGGCAAGAATTATTTTGGTGCAATAAAGAGAATCCATGCCCTACATGTTAGAATTGCTGACAAACCTGAAATTGCGGCAGAGATGGATAAATACATCAATCAACAAATCAACAATGGAAATTACATTGAGATTAACCCTGAGGAACACAGGGACCAGTATCAACTCCATTTCGTAGCCTACAATTTTGTTGTGTCTTCCAACAGCTCGTCCACCAAAGTTTGAATGACCACAGACAGCTCCATGCGCACTGAGACTGGCCTCAGCCTCAACGACGTCTCCCAGCCGGCCCCAGGAAATGTTCCCAACATGAGAGGAATCTTGTTACGCTCCAGATGTCACCCTCACTTTGCAGTTTATGACATTCAGAAATTCTTCAGGTCCGTGCTCACTTCTACCAAGGACTCCTTCCTCAGAATAATGTGTGTTCCATCAGGTTTCTTTTCCAGCGCTCCTACTCTTAACCCTACCTGGAGATATTTCCGAGATCAGGCGATCCCTTTCGGCGACAGAGCATCTGGCGACTATGCACCTTGCGTGAAAGTTGCAACTGTCAAGACNCCATCATCCTCTGTTCTTCCATCACCTCGGGTGAGATTCCCACCAGGTCAGTCAACCTCGTGAGATTTTCCCCAGATAATTCTTCCGGGAATATATTTTGAGTCTTCTACATCACGAACAGAGCCTTTCCACAGTTATCCGTGCTCTAAACCTCCTCCACAAGGTTTGCAGATCCTGGAGAAATGACCCCAATCGAGAAAGAATTGTCCGGGGAGAACCTACTGCTACCTGGAGTTCTATTAAATCTTCCATCATGTCCTCAGTCCTCAAGTGTTTTACCACGAAGTCGGAGCTCATCATTGCCAACAACAAGATAAACACCTCGTCATCCAGCTGGTGGACGGGGTATATTATGTGTCAGACCGCAGCTTCCGATCCAGAATCGGGGTTCCTCTTATCTGCAAGAAGACTATTCTTGCCAAATGCATCCTGAACGATGCTCTCTGATCTGGGTTACGGTAGAGATGTCTCCATGTACTTACACACATTCAGACCAGTTTCTTCATTCCTGGAGTTCGTAAGATGATCACTGCTCTAAAGAAATCTTGCCCTGGATGTATCAAGCTGAACAAGATTCCATTCGCAGCATTTGAAGCTGATGTCCCTGACGTCCTCAAATCCATCCAACCTCCTTTCTCCTACTGTCAAGCTGACATCTTCGGACCTGTTCTTGCACACAAAGACGATACCAAGACCAAGAGATGGATCCTTGTAATCCTCTGTCTTTCCAGTCGCGGGGTGCATCTGGAAATCCTACATAACTACAGTGCCCAGAGTATCACCAGAGGTTTTAATAGAGCCTTTGCTCTGAGAGGCACCCCTCGCACCATCTGGATTGACGCTTGACTGAACATTGTCAAGGCTGGCAAGGACTTGGTCAACACTGAGATGAAGGTCATCTCCAACCTCAATTTGAAATTTACGTCTATCGAGTTCAGAGTTACTCTACCCAAACACCATCCTGGTATTGGAGCTGTTTAAAGAATAATCGGTTCCATCAAGAATACTGTCACCAAATCCCTCACCAGACCACACCAGCTGATCATGGATGACAAGGAACTGCTTACCTGGACGCATGGAGTCATTGAAAAACTTAACAACAGACCACTGATCCTCGGAGCACCACTTGGCATCACCCTCACTCCCAACCACATTCTCCAAGGGTTTCGAGAGTGTTTCGGAGACGAGGTCAACCCTACAGCATCCATCAATCAACAAATCTCCAGGCGGAATGTTGTCCTCAACTTGTTCGTCTCATTATGGGAACAGGAGTACATCAGACGCAAGTTCACCATCACCTGAAAGAACCAAGGCAACCTCTCTCAGGTTGGAGATATACTCCTGTTTAAGAATGAACCTATATACAAGAACCCGCTCTCAGCTGCCAGAGTAGAGCAGCTCCTCTGCAGAAAGAACAGAGACGTCTACGGCGCTACTATCAGCTAGCGTTGTGAAGTAGGTGGACGTAAAATAGTAGTGGACAGACACCTCAACCAACTGTACTCGTTCATGAACCTAGAAGCTCAGTGTCCTCAAGAAATGGTACCCAGCCTAACCTCGGACTCCACAGAAGCAAGGAATCTAGCTCCAAGTTCCAGACCGGAGCCCGCACAGGACGAGATCCTCGCAGAGCTCAAGGAGATCAATCAATAGAACTAATACAAACATAAACGCAGGAATCAACTATTTAAACATTTAATTTCTTCCTTATTTTTTATTAGAAAACAAACTGGAAAACGTTTCAATTCAAATTACTTAAATTTCCCTAGAAAACCTAAATAAAAAACATTTAAACTAAAGTTTGACGTTGACACAATCACTTGCGTTTATTTATTGAATCAATAATGACCTTTTCTGTCTTAATTACTCCTCGCATTTTAATTCTTTATTTTAATCATGTTCGAGATCTCAATACATTCTCAGTTATTATTAATTCCCTTTTTTTTTAACTCTCTTCGCAACCAAATTACAAAGAATGTACACATTTACTCCATTGTTTAATCTCATCAATTATTAGCCAATTAATCACAGTTTTAATTAATGTACCTAGTATTATTACATCTGTTGATTTCAATCAATCAATCTAGTAACCATCAATCATTCGAACTACATGTTTTAAACATTGTTAATGGTAATGTTTTCATTGTCGTATGTTATCCTAACATCCTCAAACCCTGCCTGGGGCCAGTGTTAACCATTCACTTTAAGACCTCTGTGTAATGTCATCTTCAACTTAAGTCCCCTCTCAGAGCCACCAAACCAAATTATTTCAACCCCACATTTTCTTTGTCTCCGGGGACGGAGCCTAAACACTTTCGATTATTGTGAACCATAAAAGTTAAACAAGAATATTTTCATATGAAGAATTAGTGAATTTCGTTAAATATTCAACTGTCATTTATTTCAGAAGTTTAAATAAAAAAACGTCCTTCAACACTGACCAACAAGAAGTTACCCTTTATCATCCCCCATTAAATCGTAAGATTTTTTTCATTATTAAGATTTATTATAACATTGTACAAGTAACCATGATCTATAATTTATGTTATTTTTTAGGAATTAAAGCTTTTGTTATCGATTTCTTGAGACGGGGTTACTCTGTTGTGTGTGTTTGCGGCCAACCGGGAAAGATTTGTCAATGGAGAATAAATATCCCTGCACCAGAATTCCGACGGGCCTATTATTCAAGTTTATCTGGCGGGTTGCTGTTATCTGTCAACAATCATATTTATAGGCTATTGTTGTTGACATTTATGATTTTTAAAAATCCACCAATTTAAACAGAGACATTTTAACTCATTGGAGTACAATGAAAAATGGCAGCTTGAAGATTAACAATTCAAAGCCAAAATTGTTTCATAGAAATGCTTTTAAAGCCCAATGTTATATTTTTACTAACATAAATTGTACCTTATTGCTACAGAACAGTGTCGTTGTCTTGGAAAACTTAGTTTGTTGGTTAAAGTTGTCCAGGTGTTGGTGCTGACATTGTAACGATCAATTACATCCAAGCTAGAACATTTTTAAGAAGAATATGAACAAAAGTTTTAAATTACTTGGTTTTATATAATTAAGGCCACAAGCTGTACCATAACTGACTAAGTAACAAAAAAGAAAATACATGGTGTTAATAAACTGTGATGGAACAATTTGATAAAAAGCTGAACCTGCCCTTTCACGCACCTCTGACCCTTTAGTAAAAGTAAATTTAACCTAAAGTCTGACTGCGTCCACCTTGTTGCACCGGCTAGTCCTATTCAGTGTCTGCTTTATTTACCCAATATCCGGGCGATACAGTACAAACTGGGACCGGAAAGGTTGACCCGGCTCTGAAATTCAAATGTACCATGGCTGCCCGTGCTTTTTGGTTTCAAAAATGGCCTTATAAAACCTTTTTTGAATCTATTAAGAATGATAAACAATTAAAAACTTTTCGTCATTATGGATAAAACCGATTCCCCAAGAGCGACATGCTGAAAAAATTTGATGGGAATGGTTATTCCATAATCCTTATGGAATCCGGAATATTCTTCCATGAAACTCTTTTCTGTATGTTATTCTTAGCTCTGCGCAGCATCTTGGAGGTAGATTTTTTCGATGTTAGGATTTTTTTTTATCAGGACAAGCCACAGCGCTCAGCCCCCATTGCAGACTGCCTCGCCTCAGATTGCTTAACCTAACCTTCGGGAAGCTGCCAATAGGGAAAATGCTTTTGGCTAATAACCTAACACCGATTGTTTTCTTAATTCGGTCCAGGGGCATATCCAGCTTCTTGATTAGCACCGAGCAAAACTTGTGAGCAAGGAGGGGGTGCGAGGAAAAACCATTTTTTTAAAAACCCATGTATTAGTCTGTTTTTTTTTTACATTTTTGGCCATTACAACCCATTTCAGAGAGCCATTTCAGGGAGCCATTTCTGATTTTTTTAAAATTGCATTTTTAAAACATTCCAAATAGAATACAATTTTGCTTCTGTAAAATGATTTCTGAAAAATGTCAAAAAATTTGACACTCTTACAATAGTTTTGGTGTCGCTGTAATGTAACTAAAAACTGTAACTATAATGCAATTCTTAAATCGTAAGAAACTTAATTATCTAAATAGGAAAGAATCATATTCAATTACTGAACAGCGTTGGCTAAAACTTAAAATTGATGAAAAGTAATGATTTATCAATAAATTAAGAAATGTTTAGTCAAAAGACCTTAACGTATCTGCTAGAAAACAGTTACAGTTTTCTTTTAAGTTAGTTTCTTAAAAAAAGGGGGGGGGGGGGTCAAAAGATACTCTTGACCCCTCTTTTTTTTACACCCCCTCTGTATCAGCACCTGATTCGGTCAATAAAGCTTCAGGAAAAGTTTCGATAGGTCTTTACGGATCCAAATTGATCTTAATAAATGAAACACCATAGTTTTGCTTAAACCATGAACTACTATGGATTCTTATTCCTATATTAAAAATAGCTGTTAAAAATTATTTACTTACTCTGTAGTGGTGAAGCCACCAGCCATTAGAATAACATTTCCCAGCCTTGTCATACTAGCATATGATCTTTGTAGGGGCAAACAATCTTTTTCTACTTCCCAGGCTGTTGTGGACTCAAAATTTGTGCCGAAATGACAACTAAAAAAACATTCTTCAGCAATACATATACAAAGAATTTTAACCACATCGCTGAACCGGCAAAAATCGGCACCAATTGAGCTGAATAGAATTTCAAGTGCAACCCACCATGTTTGAACCCCGTCTTAAATTTGAGACGGGGCTCACATTATTAATATTCGGCCTCAGAGGTAGTTTTCAGAAGTGCAGGTTTCTAGGTCCTGCAGTCTAATGTTTATCCTTTTATAAAAATGTGGTATGATGACAGGGGACAGGGATTAATAGGCTTTTCGCAGAATGATAACATAGGGTTTGCAGAACTTATGCAAGTTCTTGTTTGATGATGAGATATATTATAGTATATGAATAAAAATCAATAAAGCAATGCACTGAGTTTCTCAAATATTCAACGNTGTAGCATTGATGTTTGAAAGCTTGGTAATCGAGGTCATCCCACTCAGGCATTTCTGCTTGATCATTGTTCTCTAATGTGGCTTGTTGGAGCTTTATCTCCTTTTCTCTTCAAAGTCTGTGATGGAATTTTTGTGGAGCCAATTTTTTTTTTAAATTATAATTTAAACTGCAATGCAGAGTTAACTGTTGCATCACCCAGTATTGGTATACTTCTTTATATATATTTTGCTTTTCTGTCTGTCTGTTTGTCTGTCCGTTTTTATCTGAGAAATGTCACCACGGCTAAACCGATCAGGTCCAAATTTTGTGTGGGACCTCACATGACCCCAGGGAAGGTTTATGGACGCTCAAAATTACAAAAATGTGTGTCCAAAAGTTTTTGATTTCTGTAAAATGCGCAAAAAAAGTACTAATAAATCTGCGAACATTAATTGTTTTTGTTTTATATTGTACAAAGAGAAGAAGCTCACAGATAAAGCCACAATTAAAATATTTAAAAGAAAATGGGCGCGAAGCGCCCTGAAAACCCTGTATCAAATAAATTGTATCAAAAAAATATTTTTAGAAAATATGATGATGTAAATGTTGAAAGTCTCCTACTTGTTTTCATTACTGTTGTAGATATAGGTAATTCCGTCAAGCACTTCAACTCCTATCAATATTAAACAATTAAAATATCTCAATTTAACAAAAAAATTGTAACTGATTTAAAATTCGGTGATGGTGATGGACCAAACCTCTGTAGAGTAAAAANTGTATTATTGTTTCTGTCACAAAGATTCCATGTTTTGCCTTCTCACCCTCTATCCCCTTTACGCTTACTTTTTTTTCTTATCCTGATTTATCCTGATTTATACTTTGGAAAATTAAAGATATTTCAAATTAATCAAAATTTTCAGGGTGTCCCATGAAACATGACAGTAGCAAAATATCCCGGATGTCCCATGAAACATGACAGTAGCAAAATATCCCGGGTGTCCCATGAAACTTGACAGTAGCAAAATATCCCAGGTGTCCCATGAAACATGACAGTAGCAAAATATCCCGGGGGTCCCATTGAAACATGGCAGTAGCAAAATATCCAGGGTGTCCCATAAAACAAGAAAGTAGCAAGACGACTTTGATTTCAATTGTGACATTCAGTTGTGAAAAAACTGTCACATGGGAAATAACTACAAAATGCTCCTGGTTCTGGCATTTAATTCAGACTTCAATTTTGTTAAATAAAACCAAAATTTGTCCAAAATTCTTCATATCTCCAGTAATAATGTATTGAAAGCACAAAAATACCAGACCACATTTTAGAAATGCCAAAACTAGGGATATTATTTGGTTATTAAATCTAGAATTTACTTTAAAATTAGGTTTACAAATAAGTGTCGAAAATTATTTCAAAGATCAAAGACGACCTTCAAGTCGTCTTCCTACTGTCATGTGTCGTATATATTTCTACCTCCTCGCACAAAGAATCCAATATCAGCTG